TGTGTGTGTGTGTGTGTGTGTGTGTGTGTGTGTGTGTGTGTGTGTGTGTGTGTATGTATGTGCGTGAGTGTGTGTGCACGCGTGTGCTAGACGTCACGCATACGTCACGCATATGTCACGCATACGTTGTTTTTCTACTCGACCTGTTCTACTAATCAGATGCTTACACAGTGGGGATAATTAGACTCGTAACGTTGAGAATGAAATTCCTAGTAATTGCCACGCTCTTTAATCACCGAATAATGAGCAGACAGAAATTGAATAAAAATACACGCAATGTTTTGTCATTAACTTGTGAAAAACCGCTGAGCCATCGTTGACATGACAACACGTATGCCACGTGAATTGCCCTGTTGGCCCTGTGCCAATAGACACAGACTTTTCATTTGCATCTCAACCGTCATTTAAATACGAAAAGCTATACTTAGATTCATTAGACCTGTAAAATAATTTGCCCGTGGTGCGATATTGTAGATCCGTATGTGTATGTGACCCTAAGCGTAAAATTATATTAAGCTTAATTGGCACACAATTAAGCGACTAAAGCATTTTCCTATAGAAACTGTTGGTAATGGAGAAGCACTCCACTTAACGTCTGCAACGTGACTGACGTTACGTGCCTTTAACACGCGTGCGAAGTATTACAGTATTTCATCAAAATTCCATTTCAAAATGAGAATTTCTGAAACTACACACATTGGGCACGTCCAGACATGCTATATGCAAAACCAGCTGTCAGGCGGAGGCCATGCCCACATTGCGTACTTCCCTGAACATAACATTACTGTTAGCATTTGTCGTGGCCACACCTTTCTTTGCCCGTGCAGGCGAAATCTGATTGCGACACCTCGCGTCAATCACTTCTTAATTAATGCACGGATCCTAATGCACGTTCACTTGTTTTACGCATGCAGGGATTCGGTTTTGTCACGTTCCAAAACCCGACTGATGCAGATCGGGCGAGGGAAAAGCTCAACGGCACCATAGTAGAGGGACGCAAAATCGAGGTGCATGGTTCATCTATATGTGTTGATACTCGCCACTTGCCGCTAAGTACTGCCTGGTGGCAAGGCGCCGTCGTCAAGATGTGTCTATCGATCTACAAGCAGGTGTCATCATATAACTGCGATAAAAGCAACGCAAAGCTGACTTCTTCCTACCTAGCACTGTCTATGTTTTAGTAGATGCGTGTTGAATAACGCAGCAACCATCCGACAACCTCGCATTTGGCTGCGTATATACCTTTTTATATCGATCAGATTATCGATAGACACATCTTACGTAGCGCACTTGTTGCTTTCTAGTTAAGGCCGTATCTTGTATAGTTGCTGCATTGGTTATTTCCTTGTTTGATTATGGTATTTCAAACAATCTAAACATTAATTGTGACGAATATTAAACAATCAATCGTAACTATATCATTAGCTAAATAGCTGGCAATTATAAAAGCGCGAGAAGTAAAACCAAGGATCTTTCAATCGCTCTATATAAACCGAATGATTCGTGCGGCCCTTCCCTTATTATCTTTCTACCTTTGTCCACTCTCTCTCTCTATTTCTATTTCTCCCTCTCCTTCTCACCATCTCTCGCTCTCTCTCTCTCCGCCTTTCTTTCTACTTTCGCTGTATCGTTCTATCTCTCTGTATCTCTCTCTTTTTTCTCTCTCGCTCTCTCTCTCTTCATCCGTCATTCACCTATCCATTCATTCAACAATCCATCCATCCGTCCGCCCACCCGCCCGTCAGTTCGTCCGTCCGTCCGTCCGTCCGTCCGTCCGTCCGTCCGTCCGTTCATCTATCCATCCGTCCGTTCATCTATCTATCCGTCCGTTCGTACGTCCGTCCGTCATCTATCTATCCATCCAACATCAATCTATCCATCATTCATAGATCTATCTACCTATCCATCTATCTATCCAGCTCTTTTCCTTTCCTTTCCCTCGAACTTCTCCACGAGCTCTCTCTCTCTCTCTCTCTCTCTCTCTCTCTCTCTCTCTCTCTCTCTCTTCGCATGCATTTCTTTTCGAAAGCGAAGAGAGATTTTGATTTCATGCCCACATACGTGCGGGGAGTGCGACCAACCTAATATTATTAAACATGTAGAAATACTTCAAATTCGTAACCTTCTAAAACTATCGTCTATAGTTTCTATTCAACGGCCAAATTTATCAATAGCAATTGTGTTTGACAGACTATAGACTATGCAGACAGAAGCACGATCGAATTATCACTCGGAACGTAAACCTAACCCGCATTCCAATATTGATAGACGTTTAATATCTCCTATGCGGTGTTTTCGTATATTAGTCGAATATACATGGTAATATGTGAAAAAAACCAACGCGGAGTACGCTGGGTTGGAAGCTAGGTTGTGATAGTACTCATCGAATAAAACTTTCCCGATCATCGAGACTCTGTCAATGGAGTATCAGAACAAGTAAGCAGCAGAAACAGGTATTCGTCATAGCAAGCTAACGAGAGATGGCGCCCTTTAAGCGCAATAAAACCTATTGAAACCCTAACGATTCGTTCTGCACAAAGAGGTTGAATTTGTCAAAATGGCAATGGTTGTATATCCTGGGAGGGACCACCAGTCGCTATCAGAGTGACTGCTCATTAGACATGCGCCGACAAAATATCTAAGTTATGCAATTAGTTCCCGCATTAGCATCAGACTCTTGGAATTCTTACGTTTGATATTTCCTTAAAGCTGCAAGAAAGCACTGGAGGATTGGATCGTCGATCAATAGTATATTATTAGATACACCGCATAATCTCCATATAGCCTCTGATATTTTAAGATTCTACATTAGCGTGTGATGCGTTTTTAACTGCTTTAGAAATAATGCAGACGTTATTATATTCTAAATGCTAAATTCTCTCACTGTTATAATGGATTCCCTCCACATACGCATTTCTATAACACCCCCCCCCTCCCCCTACGAAGGATCCTTGTTTTTACGAATGCGCAATTATGTTATACACGTTCCGCGATTATGTTATCAGCGAAAACCTTTGTGCGTCCTATCGGATCTCAAGATATACGCGATTATAGTTTACGATTTAAGTAAACAGTTGTAGCGTTTCTCTAAACGAGAGAAATTGATTTCCATTCGAGAAGGTTGAACCGCCATTACGACGTTAAATATGACGAAAAAATGGTGTTTAGCCGACTCTCGAGATATCGTTTTGTTGTTGGATATTGTTACTCTATGGATAAAGAAGGAACACTCTCGTGAGTAATTTCGCTAAGCTATCCAGCTGAACTAAGCTAACTACTAGCTAAAAGAGATACGGATATACCTCGTAGTGCTTTAGGGTACGTACCCGGTTACGCGGTGTTATATCTTTCATTGCTTACTGTTCATTTCCGAAAAGGTTGCACGAGTGTGAAGCTCACGTTTCTGGTTTACCCACTAGAGCATTCGATCTTTATCCGTTAAAAATACAGAGTCAGACTCGCTGGCTTCTCTTTGGGGGTACATTTTGACGCATGCGTGTTGTCTGTAACACTGTGGTAGATGTGTATGGACACGTCCAACATCGCTGCTCGCCGGGACCTCGCCAACAAATCCAATAAGGACCGTATACACAGGCGTGCTCCCGCCTAGCTTACAAATTGGCCCACAATCGTCGTTGCCTACATGCACATTAACGCAGTTGGCCGGCGAGTGAGAGAGAATTTCGATATCTCAGTATCCACGGGGCGAGCAGCGCTGCTGCATTTGCTGTAATATAGCGGTCTCTGGCCGTCGATGATATTGATACCTCTATCTATCGCGCCTCGTTTCACACCAAGTGCAGCCATGTTCGGACGCTCCTGGCCGCGCGTAACTGCGCTGCGTACGTGTGGAAGCTGCGGGTAAACGAACGTCGCAGCTAGAGATCTAGAAAAAATCGCATCGTGACCTATTTGCTAGCGGCCGCGTTTTCTGAATCGACGCTTGTCGCGCATTTGTCGCGACAGGGGTTGTCGTTTTATCTGTAGTTTCGGCATGCAGTTCCAGAGGTCCGCATGCTCGGACCTCGGTTCAAGGTGACCGTGACCAAAGAGTGTCCGATATCCGAATAACTAATGACTGCCTTTGAGTTTAAAAATTGCGAGAAGCAGACAACGACACTATACGATTTAGTCGTCGTGGTTTTCTTCATAATTCAGCATGGATATGAAAGGTTGGAATTTTCTGGTAGTCACTGTGTACGTGTGTAGAAAGCCTGTTTTGCGGCATGGAGTGTGTGCCAGGGGGTTCCGCTGTGACCCCATTTGTTCAGACTCGGTTGCACTTGGCGTGACTCATCGGTATGGATGGACATTGTGAATACCATGCTTGTTGGTGAATGTTTTAGGTTAACAATGCCACTGCTAGGGTTCAAACAAAAAAGAATGCTGCTGCTTTAGCCAATGGTAAGAAGCCTCTGGCCTGCTTGTTTATTTTAACACGAATAATAGTTATTCCTTGACGCGCACACGTTCTCGAAGCAATTTTAGTCGCCGGCGTTTTCGCAAATTGCGGAAAAATTTTAAATTATTTATAAAATATTCAGCCATGTCGTAGGCCTATTTGCTACAGGTGCAAATAGAAATCGATGTAATGTCAGATATGTATGTAATGCCAATTGTCAAAGTTAACAATGGTCAAATTTAATTGATTGACGCAGTTTAGCAATTTCGATTCGTAAACATCCTGGATAATCGATCCGAAATTATAGGCGCCATGAAAAATTATTTTTCATAATTATTATTTCATCATTTCTCTTACTTGCAATAACTATTTCGCCTTGCATTTGTTGATGCCAAAAAAAAATCGGTTCTTGAACTTTGCTTCGAAAACGCTATATATGCCGTACCGAAATTATTAGAGAAATTAGTGAGCGTGATACACTTATGACGTACGTGATTCACTTCTTTACTTTTGTTCTTTTTTCCTTTTGCGTCTTGACGTTCGATGTTAAAACAATGGAAACGTGCATGAGTTGGTGGTGCATTGTTTACGACAGACAGTGGTCACACGGAACTGCATGATGTGCATTTTTTCTCTGCATTTTGACGAGTCTTGCAAAATGGATTGCCGAAACACGAGCTGTGATTGAAACTTTAGCAGTTTGAACGAATGAAACTTATCTACGCACACACGTTCGATCGCTATCTATCTATCCGTAACTCTTCTTCTTTCTTTCGCTTACACTGTGACAGAGGGCTACTGAAAACTAAGCCTATACTAAAGAGAGAGGTGAACAAAAATGTTGCTGGCAAGATCTGGCCTGTTATTTTGTAGCTCACGCTAGATTTTTGTTAAGGATGCATATCCCGTGAGTTGTCTAGCACGTATGACAGCTCTTATTTCGTCGGGATGGCATGCGGTACTAATAATTTATAACTTCGCTGCCAAGCAGTGGGAAAATTCCCAAATCATGTAGAAAATTATACATTGTTAACAAAATACTGAAGCAAAGACACGCAATATGCACTTGGCAAATTATGCTCTCGCGCTATTCATCTGAACTCTCAAGTTAGGCAATATTTCAGTAGCCCCCCTATTTGCGTGTACGAGTAACGCGGGAAGCGTTTCTATGAATGTCGTATTTCTTTCGTACGTAGTAGCGGCATTGCGAGGAGCAGCGCTCACCAGGGGGCGTGTCGCTGCTGCTGCGGCAGCTGCGCGAGGGTACACTGCCGCGGCCGCCCTTCGACACCCCACACCAATGCCTACAGGGCCACCCTCGCTACCCCAGTATGCGCCGTAAGTTGCTAAGCCACCTACTACCCGCGATCATCGCTCTGTTTTGTAGATGACTTAGAATGTCTCTGGAATTCATTTTCATCTAGAGATAATATCGTAATTCCTTTCATCAAGGCCATCTTAAGCTTTTAGCACACACACACACACACACACACACACACACACACACACACACACGCACGCACGCACGCACGCACGCACGCACGCTACGCCACGCACGCACACGCACACGGCCACACGCCACACGCACACGCACACGCACACGCACACGCACACGCACACGCACACGCACACGCACACACACACACACATACACACACACACTCACACATACGCACATATATATACCTGTCATTTATAGACGGCCTTTAAGTGCAGGACAGATGTTAGATACTCGCTGCAAAGTCCGTGCTTCGTAAATCAAAGGCGGAAGAAGTGTGGAAGCCCCGTCTAAACTTGCAGTCCTACAGCCACCAACGATCTGTTTTCAGTTAGTTTTCCACGATGCACTGTTTCCGACATCAAACTCGTTGCAGCGCTGAGCGCTGCGTGTATATTGCTTGTCCTGTCATTTGGCTGATGTGTGTATGCAATTACCCGTGTAATTTTGCCGTTCATATTTCTTCGCAGTGCAATATACCAGGATCCGTTCCTAGCCGCGTACGCGGAACGATATCAATTACCGGTAAGTACCACATTCGCACCAATGCATGCTTTCATAATGCAGTAAACATAGAAACTGTACGGCACTTGGAAATATACAGGCTATCATGCCATGTAGTAGGAAACGTATAACGTTGCTCTCGTTTTCCAGTTTTTTATGCTGAAAACACTAACCTGTGCTTAAGGAGGAGTGATGATATAATCCGAGTCAAAGTTGACGATAGGAGACGCCCCCTCCCCCTCATCGCTCGTAGCGTCGCTTTCGGCGCTCCGTGGTGCAAATATTAGCGTGCCCTCGCTCAAAGCATTTCCCTGCTGAAGATGGAGGCGCCAAACAGCGCAGGCTTGAGTTTAAGCATGCCACAAGCTGGGATCGAAGACGAAGAGTAGTAGATCCTCTTAAATGCAATCTTTCCAGCGCTTGCAAGGTCACACAACGTCTCGGCAGCCACTGTTACGTTCGCCAAAGAGTAGCTGTTTGGGTATTCTGCTACTGTACGTACGGTACACGTGGTCATGAAGCGTATTATGTGGTTGTACTGCAGCCTGTTCTGCTAGCATCTATGACGAATACGACATACGCATATACGCTCTCCTATGACACTATTTGTAATAGGAAGATTCTTCCTATGACAAATATTGTTGTATGTGTTGAGCGCATCATAGGGGTTTAGGAGCGATATTATGAACGCAAGCAGTGAATTTGAGCTGTAAAGCGGAACGAAGTTATGCGTATATGCGTATGTCGTATTTGTCATGGATGCGAGCAGTACATGTTGCAGCACCGCAGCACGGACCCGTTGGAGGAGGAGAAGTCAGCAAGGTGCAGTACCTTGCGCAGTTAGAGTTACGGTGCAGATTTTTATACTATTCGCAAAACCCTGAAGCTGGAGCAAAGCAAACACCATGTGAGTTGTTAAACGACCACTGAAGAAGCTGCACTGAGTTTTTGGGGAGGAACCAAATCCTGTTAAGGATAAGCCGTGCGACAAGCTCGACACTATAGCAGCAATGAGGGTTAACCCGATGTTGTTAGCACAGTTTAAGCGGTAGTCTTTCTTGAGCAGAGTGACAGTGATGCCGCCCTTAATATCCTGGGAGACATTTTCCTTATGTCAGACAGACGGAGGTAGTGAAGGAAGCGCATTTAGGGGGGGGGGGCAACCTCCAGCCTATAGAACCGCAGCAGGCGCGAAGTACAGAGCCGGAGCGTTGTTGTTGGCAAGCTGCTTTGGAGCCTCAACCGCTTCTTCGACTGACGGTTCTAGCTCGAGTGCAGTTAGAGCTTTCTCCTGGGAAATGTTGATTCAGCTGAATGCTTTGCTCACGACGTAGAACGAGAACGGCTTCTTTGTGAGTGAAGCGGTTGCCTTCGAGGTATTGAGGGGCACAGACCAGAAGAGCGCCATCGTGCGATAAATTTAATTGATTCGAAAAAAAAGCAGGGGGAATCATGTCTTTCCGCGAAGCCTTCAGTCTCGTATGCATTACCCTTCCGCCGCTGATTCTGCATGCAGCAAAGTTCTCTTTGGCAAGTGCCCTTCATCTGGGCATATCGGTGGCGAGTTCTGTCCTCGTAGAGCAGTGCGTGAAAACAGTTGTGTTTTTGCTATGGCAAAGTTGACATTACTTCGATACTCTCATCGAGCCAATCACGTCAACTGACGCGCGGTTTTTTAGTTTGCTACGGTGGAGATATAAAGTTTTAACGGTGTGCACACGGGTTTTTGATCAGTCCAGCAGTCTGCGCTGTGACGAATGTGGAAACCAATTAGTTTGCTGTGAAAATTCTATCTCACAATGATGATGAAATCAATCATGTGCCATCGCTGGGTCTAAGATGCTGCCGTGTGCCTTCGTGGATGCTTCGACGGACGGGGGAGGGGAGGGGGGACAACGTGTTGGAGACTGTAAGGCTGACGTGGAAGCAGCGCTCGGCAAGCATAAAGCCCTGCTCGTTTCATCCGATCCGAGACTACGGGGACCAGTAATATCTCGCCAAGCTGGGGACTTACAGCCGACTCCTCCTCTTGCGTTAAAGACGCCGGGAAGAAACAGCCTATCGCCCCAGGGACATCAGAGAGGACGCGTGACAGCTGATCGCAAAAAAGGGTCTTCTCCTTGGGGAGGGAGCGGTTGAGGAGATGATGAACGCTTAGCAAGGCTTCCCCACTTCGCTGCGCATGGATATAATGTGGCAGCCGATTCCCTTCCAGTTGCCTACTGGTTGACGAAGGTTAAATTTCAAAGCAATAGTAACGCCTATTTTAGAGAGGTCTCTGTTCCTTCTAGAGTAGAAGGAAATTTAGTCACTGCCAATGAATTTTCCTATACCAGGATTATGGCACTCACTGGGGCAGGCAATGTCAATCTTCAGCCTTTTCAGGATTAGGTCCAACAGAAAAAATACACTTAGAAGTGTGCAGCGGCATATTGGAACCTGCCTGGTATGTTCTGCATCGGACATAGTTCTGACATTACAGGATGCTAGCTAGCATCAGTTGTGATATATGCTTGCGGCATGCCAGGGCGAGTCAGGAACACGGGCCCTTGCAGCTTTACCCATGGTCCGCCATCCCCGCAGGAGTGCTGCGCAGGCGTACAACGGATGATGTTGTATAGACGAGTATGTGGAACCTATGACGAAAATAAAGGTCCGGAGCTGCCGATGTTGCCCCCCAACAGCGTTGAGAAAGTAGTATACACGTTTCCATTATTGCGATTCCCACTGGTAAAGACAGGGAACAGAATCACTAGCAAACGCAAATCACCAAGTTGTCACCTATCTATGTAAGTAGGGGAATGAGAGAAATAGAGTCAGTAGGGCCATCCAGCTAGGAACTGAATCGGACGGATACTGGTGTTGGGAGACGAAAAACACGTCGGCTCTATTTGACACATGAAGAGATATGCCCGGAACGTTTTATCCACAAGACGCAGGGGTCGTGCCTTCACTCAGAATATGGTAAGGTGGTAGGTTTGTTTCCACGGCATGCTCCCTACGATTCGCTATGTTCTCGGATATTAACGAGGGTTCCTCAGGTATCTGGTAGGATGCGGGACTGTGCCAAGCACGGGCGGTCTTCATAATGCGAAGTACAGTGTATATTGTACGGCATATCGAATATTGCCGTTATAAAATCTGCTACGAATGCGCCTAGAGTTATATGCCCTCTATATGTAGCGACGGTTCTGTTGCCTAGTGCAGTCGAATTGTGTCCCGAATTACGTCTCAGGTGAGTGTGAAATTTAATAGGCGGCCTTGCTGGCGCCATGTTTGCACAGTCAATGCCGCGAGCCGTTGTTGCTAACGTTGCAACGCTATTTTATATTTCGCTATTATATAGCCTAATTAGAGTCGTGACACACCCGCTACGTACGCTGAACGTTAATCACGTTATATTCGCAGTGACGTTCTACATGCTACTGTGTGTATTCATAGTGCCGTTGTTCATAGTAAAGTGAAACACATCGCGTCTAGTTACATCGATAGCCGATATTTCATTGCGGCGTGGTGTTTTTTTTCGGAGGCTGTCACATCAGATACTACTGCAATTAATTAGTAATTCGGCACTTCCAGTGGCACTATGTGTGTGTGCGTGCGTGCGCGTGCGTGTGTGTGTGCGTGGTGGGGGGTCTCATTGTTCAGTTAGCGCGTCTGGTAGTAGCACTATGCGGTGCAATACATTGTCGCCCGTCACGATGTCAAATCTCAAGGGGCTGCCAAGTGACCGGTACCAGGGAGGTCCCCCCCCCCGATTGATTTCTGCGGCGGATTGATTTCTGCCACTACATTGATTTCGGCGCTGGCGCGTGGAGAGAGATAATGTTTATTGAAAATCTACTCGTGATTTAAACCCGCCATTATATTACGACGAGGGTTTCACCATGAAACTAGTAATGTAACGAAAATTGTAAACTACTGGTGTTACATGTTAAGGACTCGATTGACTTCACATTAAGTAACGCGGTCCGAGAGAACTGTTCGGATACCAACACAGCTGGTAGTTCTCGCGTCGTCTGCGCTAAACTTTTCCTGTCCACGATATTGACTGATTCATTTTTTCCAAATCAGTGTTTTTTGCTCACTCTTGTTTGATTTTCCATCTGATTTTAGGTTCCTGCTGCCAAACATCCTGTTGTGTCACTTGGGGAGCTAGGTTTAACTACTGGCAAGGCATTGTTGCCCGGGGTACTTTACCGTTTGTTTTGCTGTTGTACACTGCAGTATTGCTTGTGAATATCTCCCCGCTCTATTTATTTTCTCTATCTTGTTCTCTAGTCTGTCTCTCTCTCACACGCACACTCACTCACTAACAGACAGACACACTGATTGAATGACTGACTGACTGACTCACTCACTCACTCACTCACTCACTCACTCACTCACTCACTCACTCACTCACTCACTCACTCACTCACTCAACTCACCTTCACTTCATCACTTCAACTCACTCACTTCACGCACTCACTTCACTCACTCACTCACTCATTCAGCTACTCTCTCACTTCACTCACTCACTCATCTTCACCACTTCACTCACTCACTCATTCACTCACTCACTCACTCACTCACTCACTTCCCACTCACTCACTCACTTCACTCACTCACTCACGCGCGCTACCGCACGCACGCACGCAACGCACTCACTCACTCACCTCACTCACTCAAATCCACTCACTCAACTCATTCACCCACACAAACACACACACCGCACGCACCGCAACTCAACTCGCCTCGCTCGCTCACCAAACTCAACTCAACTCATTTCACTTCACTCACTCACCTCACTTCCTCATTCACTCCACTCACTCACTCACTCACTTCACTTCACTCACTCACTTCACTTTACTTCACTCACTCCCACTCACTCACTCACACACACTCGCACTCACACACACTCAACTCACTCACTCACTCACTTAACACAACTCCAAGCACGCACGCAACGCACGCACTCACTCACTCACTTCACTTCAACTCACGGCAGCCGCCACGCAAATCACTGCGCGCCACCTACGCAACATTCACTCACTCAACTTAATTTCAAATTCACTCACCCCCCCCCCCCCACACCCAACACACAACCACGCACGCACGCACGCACGCACTCAACTCACTTCAAGCGCACTCACTCATTCACTTCACTCAACGGCACTCACTCACTCATTCACTCACTCACTCACGCACTAACTCATTCACTCGCTCACGCATTCCCCCCACTCATGTCTATCTGTCTGTCTGTCTGTCTGTCTGTCTGTCTGTCTGTCTGTCTGTCTGTCTGTCTGTCTGTCTGTCTGTCTGTCTGTCTGGCTGGCTGTCTGTCTGTCTGTCTGTATGTCTGTCTGTCTGTCTGTCTGTCTGTCTGTTTGTCCGTCCGTCCGTCTGTCCGTTGGTCCGACTGTCTGTCTATGCAACTGTGTCACTGTGTCATTGTGTCAACCTCACTGCCATACACGCATCACTAGTTCACTCGCCGTCTCTTCTTTCTTCTGTCTGCACAATGCCTCAGTTTGCTGATTTTGGTCAGGTTTCCTTCTAACGCCTATCGCACTGTCCATGGTGTGTTTTTGTTCGTTTTAGCAATTCACCAGGCTTGCCTGATTAGATTCGTGTAAACCAATAACGTTTGTCGTGCGGTTGTCTCACTCACCTCAACGACAAATTTGCTATTGTTTCGTAAATCCTACCATTTAGCCTGTATATGCGCGCGCGCGCGCGCGCGTGTGTGTGTGTGTGTGTGTGTGTGTGTCAGTGAATAGGCGTTTTTTTCTTATATTAATTGTCACATTTCTCATAATATGCGCAGTAATATAATTCTGTAATAGGAGTTAAGCCAGCACTCATAAGCAATGCTATTGTTATTACTTTGGCGTAGTTTTTCACCGCAGCAAGTCTTTGGTCAAGCAAATCTAGATTTACCGCATGAATTATGCAATGTCGAACAGGAATAAGACCGCATAAACACCACCAATACCCGTTGTTGTTTGCCGATAACACAGCGCACTAACGCATGCCTATAAAAGGTTACAACTGAACGCGTGACTAGGAATAATTCTATCGGAAGCTACATTTTATGTTATTTATAATCGTCTTAGTTAGTCTGGTGGCTATACTACGTGGCTACGGTGTAGAAAACGGTTACTAAAGGTCATACGCACTCTCAGAATTCGAATATTATATATATATATATATATATATAATTACGAGTAAATTCGCCGACTAGTCTTGGAAATTATATGCAATGTCTCTTAAAAATTTGTCGGCACAATTGTCTGTTTTAGCAGACCCGTAAATTACATCACAGGCCTTCTCGATAAACTTGGGTGGATTTCTTGTAAAACAGTACGGATGATCACGTTTTATGTGCGTTTGTTTATACCAACGTAAAATGTGTTTGTTTTCTCACGTGAAGATGTTTGATCAATCCTTCGAAAACCATCTGCCGCTCTCACTCACCTGTGTCGGCTACTTTGTTGTTTCCGTCCGTAATATTTTACCCGTTCTTTTAAAGGAGGCTGTGTTTTCACAGGCTGGGTATCCAGCTGGATATGTGACCAGACCCTACCCGGGATCCGGAGTGATGGCTAATGCTAGTGCTCAGCCCATGCAGACCGTAGCCGGAGCATATACTGTCGGGTAAAACTCTTCGATCAACTCACAGCCGCGATAGCAGATAGCGAACAAAAGACTCTGAACCGAAGAAAGCAAATGGTCGTCACTGCCTACTCGACGTAGCATAACCGACATAACTATATATATACTACACCGATACCTTTCTATGCGCAACTTCACCTGAATCTTCATCGCCGAGCTGCTTTCGCTTCGTTTCCCGGCGAGCTGTTCTACTCTCGTAAACGTTTAAAAACGCTCCCGTTTGTCTTCGGCGCAGGTATGGCAGAGAGTACATGGATCCGTATCTAGCGGCGGCAGCGGCCGGACACAGTATAGGACCGGTGGCTGGCTACGGGGTAAGCATTAGAGCGGATAGTAAGTCTCATCTAGAAAGCAGTGATAGTCGTTCTCGCGTGGACTGAGCCAACGCTGAAAGCGAATTGACTATCGAACTACGGACACGAAGTGTACCAGAAAGCCACAAAGCGTTAGACGTACACTTTCCCGCCGCTCGTTTAACGTGCTGGTAATCATTTGACATTCCCCTTTTTCACAGGCGGCAGTCTACAGAGGGATGTATAATAGGTTCTCACCGTACTAGACAGTGCTGAGCTGCTATAGATCGCAACAGATGCAGTGTCAATGTTGCAAGGAATATGCGCAACCAACAACAGCAGTACAACGACTGGCTCTACCCCAGGTGATAGACGGACGAGCAACTCTGCAGCAAGAAGGCGGGAATGAAGCACAGACGGTCGGTCACGCGACCGGTCAAGATAATACCTGGTTACGGACATCATGTCAGTGTTGTATTTCGGTGGGGTTCCCGCAACAACTTACGCATACATACGGCGAAATACAACAACAGTCCATCGGTAAACGTCGGGCGCATGCGCATGTACGGTGTTCGTTTCATCTCCAAATGCTGTCTAATGCATACAAGGCGAACAGAAGGATAACTTGCGATAAGGATAAGCGACCGTAGGCTTCCATTCCCAGTAAACAAAAAGCCGCCAAAGAAGAAACCCCTGCCTTGCCAAATATTTGATGGAGGCTGCTAAATGTATTTCTTTATCAAACAGTTTTTGTAATTATTTATTATTGATTTTTTTTCTCTCTCACGATTTGTGGAATGTAATGGGCTTATTTCGAAAGAAAAACCGTTAACTACTTTAAGTGATAGGAATCTGGTAGCGTAAGTAATCAAGCACTTTCTTCTAGGATTAACATCTCTGACCACAAGTCTGGATATTTTAGTACCTAGCTTAGCGTTTAAAAGATTTCGGCATATATGTTATTTCAAGATGCCATCATCTTCTCATTTCCATAATTCTATTGAACTATTTATAAACCCATAGCTCTCCGACAAAAAACATCCCCGTGTTTATATCATGACTGCTGAATTTGTCCTCGTTAATAAAAAACCAGCCAGACACCAAACTACGTAACTTATATGCATAGGTTTATGCAGCTACAGATCTCTTTCTACCAATCTTCTCTTCTCCCTTTCGTCTAACGGCAGCTTTTGTGGTCGTATCATGAGCTCTTCGTTTCGTTTTGGATATCCGCGACAGAATGCAGAATTTGTTCGCAGTTTTTCATCAATGTGCTAATCGCTAGTACCAAGCGTCGAGATTCGGAATCCGGCACCGCTCACCTTTGAAACAATTCCCATATTTTATTGGGCGTGAGGCTGTTCATCTTGATATCAGGAGTCTATCTATATTGATAGACTCCTGTTGATATCGCTATCACGCTGGAAACTAAATGGACGAATTATGAGGCTGGGTTGCCAGGTGTTGCATGCTGTCATACAATCTCTTACGCTATCACTAGATATCGTCAAACTTTCTAGCCCAGCAGAATATAACGATGGCGGGAGAAAACGGTTGGTACGTGGCAGATTTGTTGGGCAATAACGTTGCCAAATGGTATAAACTATACAGTTTTAATGAAAATTTTCTTAAGCAATGGAATCTCATGTAGGTTATTTTTAAACTGTACAATTGTAAATAGCCTATGTCAGGTATTTATTAATTTTAGTTATTATTAAACTAGTATAATGTATTAAGTTATTTGTTTGTAGTTAAGAATTATTGCACATATTTGGTGCGATTAGAATAACCAAAGACCTTATACTGCCGCGAATCTGGTGTTATGACGATTAAAAGTAAATTGTTTCACAGCATCGGATTACGTAACTACGATATTAATAGATTTCTCTTCTGAACTTGTAACAGCGTTCATTACAACGACTAATTGCAAGATATATAGAACCGTGTAACTGTTATACGTTCAACATATTTGTATGGTTAAACATACAAACCACAACTTCTAGTCTCTATGGGTCGCACAGTAATTACCAGATACTGGTCGTATACGCATATTATCGTGGGGCCAGGGATAGCAATACATTACGAATGCTACACGTGCTGAAACGGTGGGGTAACTCAATATTTTATAAAAGATGGGCCCTCAATTGAATGTACGGGGAGGAGTCTCAAAATGAGATTGGTATGAAAAATGCCCTGCTCTCTTTTAAGTGGGTTTGTGTTAGGCAGTTGTCAACGAGTATTTAATGTAATTTATTGTTTGTCGTACACTGTACGTTGTCGTTTATTACGTAAAGCGGTTTTGCGGTTGCGGCTAAAATGTTAGGCGTTTGAACAAGATTTAGGATGTCAAGTGGCGCCATCGTGGGGGCAAAATAGAGGTACAAAAAGACCACTGTTAGTGCAGCCGTAAGGTAGCTAGATGACTGCTGAGTACAGGCCAATAATATTCTACATGCAGGAGTTTGAATGGGAATTTCTGACATGCAGCGTTATACAGCACGGTTATTTTGTAGATTCAAGTTTCGTCAGGAAAATTTAGTAAATTAAATAAAGTTGTATTTGCAAATATCTTTTGGAGAGTGAAGGATTGTGATGCACGCATAATGTTCGCATTATTTAATAAAGTTTTAGAAAAAATATCAATCGAGTAGGTGTATGGTTATTTGTATTTCTACTGCCAGAAATCATTTAATGGTAGAGTTTAGTATATCGTTCTTGAATAAGTGTGTTGTTCACAAGTTGTAAGCATAAGCATACTGCCGAAATAGTTTTAAATTTAACACACACACGCACACACACACACACACACACACACACACACACACACACACACACACACACACACACCTAAGCATATTAGGGTTAGGTTAAAGTTGGTTCGGGTCGGGTAGGGTTGAGAAGTAGTCGTAGGCGACCTCCCTAGACTCGTTAGTGGATGTAGACGAAGGTACGGTCGGGCATATTCAAAGGGGGGATTAGTACCGAGGGTCGTTCCGGCCAGTACACCGGGGACATAGAAAATCGTAGACCTCTCGCTGAACTGCGCACTACGCAAGGGCCCACGCACCGTCAGCCCGCAAGCCCTCTAGCTGAGACACGACTCACGAGCAGCTCCCAGCTCTAACTAAAACTCACAAAATCACGTCTATATATTAAAATATATCTATTATAGAGAGAGAGAGCAGGATGCGGTATAATGACCAAATATTTGTCATCTATACGCTCCTGATATATAATATATCATTAAAAAACTACCTTATGATACATTGTATACCCCAACATAATATACACAGCTTTTGTTTCATAAAGGTCATATATTCCAGCGATACAGGTTATGGGGGGGAGGAACGGCAGTATAGACGGTATCGACCGATGCGACGACTGTTGCGGCGCTCAGACACACACCGAGCACGCCACACGCACCTGAGCGCGCCACAACTCACAATGCACGTACGCACACGTACGCACGTACGCACGCGCACGTACAAAAAAACATTCATCATCAGAAACAAGATTAATTTGCTTACTTACAACAATAGAATACGTATAGTTAATCGTTTGTTTCACCTGTAGAATGGGAAAACTAAGACAATATGGACACTATTAACTGTGGCTAACCCTAACGCAATAATCCTATGCCGTAGGTACTTATCTGTAGGTGAACTTGTGAGAGATCGGCCTCGGCATTAATTGATGATCCCAGTATACATTCCTTTCATAAGGCCTGAAAACATTAATGAATGATGATCAAATTCATAATTTGACGTTATGTATTTTATCAAATTATGACATACAAATATTAAATATAGATGTTAGCGAGAGATAGAGAGAGATAGTTAGACGAGAGAGAGAAGAGATAGAGATGAGAGAGAGACGAGAGAGAGAGCGCGAGAGGGAGAGAGAGAGAGGGGTGAGTGCGGGTGGGGACAGTGTGTGAGAGAGAGCGAGAGAGAGAGGGAGAGAAAGAGGGGGCGAGGGAGAAAAATAGAGAGCGACAGCGAGAAAAATCTTAAACTCGGCAGTTGTGCCCTATATATTCTCAAAGACGGATAGCTATACTGCTTAATCTATTATTTTTATTTTTATTATAGGCCTACTATTTTTTTCATCTATTTAATTTATGTAGCGATGTGTCTATGATCAGCACGCGCTCGTGTCGGTTGTGCGTGCACGAGTCAGCGTGCGTGCATGCAGCTGATATATTATATATGTCTAGTATAAGTATTGAATGAACGATTTGAAACAAAATGAATGACCTAGTATTGAATTTATGTAGCGCCGTTATATAGTCATGTTAGTCTTGTTATATTATGTTTATGTAGTTATGTTGTTTGTGTTGTTGTTTGTGTTGTTGTGTATGTTGTTTCGTGTGCGTGCACGACTTCACGGTGGTAGGTCACATACAGGTACAGATGAGAGCGCGCGGTCCCAGCGTGAACTAATACAGCTCTGTCGCAGTACACAGGTATAGAAAGAAACCGCTAACACTGCAGCGGTGCCGCTGCTATCGTATGAACGTGAATAAATAATTATATATTTATGATATATATAAGTGTGTATAAATAATTCGCGTATTAATTCGACACCACTGATGGTGGCCGGAGGCTGCCCCACTGTAACAATTTTGACCCTCTGAATAATAAAAGCAAAAAAAAAAAATGAAAATCAAATTAAATAATCAACACGACATCAAAATCTGAAATCCCCAAAATCGAAAATCAAATGCAACATCAATTATCAAAATCAAAATCAAAATCAATAAAAAATCAAAACGAAATCAAAATCGAAATCAAAATCAAATCAAAAATCAAAACGAAATCGAAAATCTAAAATCAAAATCAAAAATCAGAAATCAAAATCAAAATCCAATAACGAATCAAAATCTAAAATCAAAATCAAAATCAAACATCCAAGATGCAAAATCAAAGTAAAGTGAAATGAGTTTACCGCGTTGGCCGAAGCTGCCCGAACGTGAAAATCAGTTTCGCGTTGGCCGAGGAGCTGCCCAAATGTGAAATCATGTTTTCGCGTTGGCCGAGAGGCTGCCAATCATTTAGTTCAGGTGGCTTAGGCCAGATTTGAGACGGCTTGGGGACAGTGCCGATAAACGCACCCAGAACTTTTTCCATATACTATCCAGTGCCTTAGGTTTCAAGTTTTATGATTAGGAGACCGACTTCACGCAAGATAGAGGAAGGCAGGGGGGGGCCATCTTTGGGATTCCAAGAGTGCCGCTAGTGATAACCTTAAGATGTCAACTATCTCGGCTTCTATGCACTCAGTGAGGGACAAACATTGGGTGTCTAAAACTATTCTGGGGTGAGGAATGCATTAAACTATTTAGCGCATCAAGAGATAAATATTTGCGATCAAAATTGGGAATCAGAGATATG